ATTAAGCACTTGAATTACTTATCCATGAGACCTGTAGGTGACGACTATTTAACATGCTTTTATTTTTGCAAACACAAACAATAAAGTATTGTTCCAAATGCTCAGCGGTAAGACGATCACACAAATTATTGTGTGTGTGTCAAAATATTGGCATTGGAAACTGTTGTCCATTTGCCACAAAATGTTGTCAATGGATGTATATTATCTGATCATTGCGAGAGACGGTAAGAAAGAAAGAAAAGGGGTGGATATAACTGAATAGTTACGAGTTCCAGACAAGGTTTATTTTATATAGTAATATTTGCCTTTTTAAGGAATTAAGCGCTAAATAAATTTTTTTATCCGGAAAGGATAAAATGGTAGTCAGACTTAAAGGTAGTTGGAAGCCAAGTTTAATCATCTGAGCGATTAATTGGTTGGAGATATTGGTGTAAAGATTACAAGCAAAAAACATGTAGATTTAGATCGGCTATAGAAGATTCATCACAAGCACAATTTGGGGTCTCTATTACACCTATTCGATGAAGATGAGCAGGAAAGCAACCATGACCCAATCTCAATCTCGTTATAATTGTGGAGAATCTTCTATTCATATTTAAACTGGGTGTTCGGATTTATATGTCACTTAGTATAATTCATGCACATTTTAAGCATATTAAATGTTATTTCTGCTGCTTTGTCCATTAAAAAAAAAGTGTTTCCTTTAAGGTGGTGATCCGCCTATAATAGACTATTTGTCACACTCCCGCTGAGTCCATTATAAGCGGGTTGCACTGTAATCAATACTTAAGCACTTGAATGACTTATCTATGAGACCCGTAGGTGACGGCTATTTAACATGCTGTTATTTTTGTAAACACAAACAATAAAGTATTGTTCCAAATGTTCAGCGGTAACACGATCACACAAAATATTATATGTCAAAAAAGACAGCTCCACATCTACGGAGGTGACTGGACAGTATTTGAATCTGGGTGCTACGCTAGCTTTTATTGTAATGTCACCAGTACCATTAATAAATCTCTCAATTTGACTGCTTAGGCTGGACGTTCATTGGAAGCATATTCGCACATGAAATGTAGGCGCGAATTCAGGCGAACGTCTAATCTACCAAAATTTTTATTGGCAACCTTATCGTCTGGCAAAAAAGCGTGACGTCAATAAATGTGTCTAGCTGCAACGTAAAATTCAACTTATCATCGAGATTACATGCCGGAAAAGTTGTAATTATAGCAAAAATATGCAACGTCTCTAGATTCTTGTTGAAATATGCAACAACCAGCGAAGATAGGCTTAATATGCAAATGCATACGCTAATATGCAAATGCAAATAATCCGGTCTCTATTCATAACAATGGGTCAATTTTGGATAAAAATGCTTTTAAATATACTAAGTGACATATAAATCCGAACACCCAGTTTAAATGGTTTTATTTTAATAAAATTTTGTATAAGTACTTAATGAAGCATAATAAGTAAATGATAAAAATTTCAAAATGATTGCACTGCTTTAAAGCCCTTTGACCTTTAATAATGTGTGGATGCACCCTGATGTGCTACGCATTCTCCAACGCGCCTAGGCATGCTTCTGAACAGGTGGTCAATGTCCTCCTGTGGTATCTCATTCCAGGCAACCACCAACTCCTCTCGAAGTGCTTCTAGAGTCTGAGGAGGACGTTGCAAATTGAGCGATCTCCTACCCATCATATCCCACACGTGCTCAATTGGGGATAAGTCGGGAGATCTTGGTGGCCATGGTAACAATGTGACATCATTATGTTGAAAGAAGTCTATTGTGACAACATGTGGTCGGGCATTATCTTGTTGGAAAGTTGGATCTGCCAGGGTGTCAAGATAGGGTAAAAGATGGGGTTCTAGAACTTCGTGGATATAACGCTGCGCGTTCATGTTACCTCTGATGAAGATTAAAGGTGACCTGGAACCATAAGCTATAGCACCCCAAACCATAACTCCAACAGTGTGATGAACATGTCTTTCAACAAAAAACTGTGGATTCCTCCTTTCACCACGTCGCCTTCTAACCTTGGCACGACCATCGTGCATGCCTAAATTCGTCGATAGACACTTCGCATGCCAATAGGTCTTCCGTGTTCTGCAAACCATTCATTTGCAATGGACCTGGTAGTGGAGAAACGGTCCCTTAAGGCCAATAATCTTAGGCGGCGATCTTCTCGGTCTGTTGTTCTACGGCCGCGTCCAGTGCTCCTTGCTCTTTGCGTACGGCCTACTCAAAGCCAAGCCTGACAACACCTAACCACAGTGTCTACACTTCTTTGCACTCTAACTGCAATTGCCCGAAAAGAAAGTCCAGCTTCCCGAAGTCCTACTATACGGCCCCTATCAAACTCACTAAGTTGACGAAATCGTACAGGTCTCCGTACTCTAGGCATCGTAACCGATCGTAAAGGATGTCAAGAACCAAAATCCGCCAACGTTGATTCTTTACTGCGGCTGAAATATTCATTTTTAGAGCGTTAGTGAATTAAAAAAAAGCAGTATAAAAACCGGAATGCCAACTGATAAGGCTGAACATTTTTTCACTTGTTATTTACAGTAAGATAAATACATTCACCAACTTTTATTAAAATAAAACCATTTAAACTGGGTGTTCGGATTTATATGTCACTTAGTATAACTATCAACAACTAAGGTAAAAATAAAAATGGTGTCAAAATATTTTTTTATCCTCTAATCTGCACCATTCATTTGAACTTGTTTTGCAAGCGAGCTGAATGTTACATGCTGTATCAAATTACAAAAAATGATAATATTATCTAATAAATAACCTAACGTAATCTTTGCGTTGACCTTTCACAGTTCAGTGGTTCTTGCGTATGCTGTGTGGAAAGTGCTCAAAAACATCAGGAAACTAGTATGTTGCAAAAATACAATACAATAAATTGTACAAAGCTTGTCTCACGCCGAAATAATAAAGAGTTTGTAGTGCTTCGGTTTTGCTGCTTTGTTATGACCTTATTTCGTTTTGGTGGAGTTACAGATTTTTCGGTCATATTACTGGTATCATTAGACTAATGAGATTAATTCGTTTTTTGGCGATTGCTCTATCGTAACAGGACCCATTATTAAGACTATGATAGACGACCAAGGATTACCTGACGAATGCTAGATACTAGGTTATATCTGAAAATTATTCCTTCCTGAAATTTTTTTCGCGATTAAAGAACTTCCATCGCCTATTGGTTTGACTGAAAAAATGAGCACCCTGTTTGAATTTTGAGAGATATGTACGCCCAAAATATAGGTATCAGTATAAAATTTGCAGTATAGCAAACATTTGTCATAAACACAACGCTTGAGTTGCTGTCAAATATTGCAAACGACTGAATTATACTAAGTGACATATAAATCCGAACACCCAGTTTAAATGGTTTTATTTTAATAAAAGTTGGTGAATGTATTTATCTTACTGTAAATAACAAGTGAAAAAATTTTCAGCCTTATCAGTTGGACATTCCGGTTTTTATACTGCTTTTTTTAATTCACTAACGCTCTAAAAATGAATATTTCAGCCGCGGTAAAGAATCAACGTTGGCGGATTTTGGTTCTTGACATCCTTTACGATCGGTTACTATGCCTAGAGTACGGAGACCTGTACGATTTCGTCAACTTAGTGAGTTTGATAGGGGCCGTATAGTGGGACTTCGGGAAGCTGGACTTTCTTTTCGGGCAATTGCAGTTAGAGTGCAAAGAAGTGTAGACACTGTGGTTAGGTGTTGTCAGGCATGGCTTCGAGAAGGCCGTACGCAAAGAGCAAGGGGCACTTGACGCCGCCGTAGAACAACAGACCGTGAAGATCGCCGCCTAAGATTATTGGCCTTAAGGGACCGTTTCTCCACTACCAGGTCCATTGCAAATGAATGGTTTGCAGAACACGGAAGACCTATTGGCATGCGAAGTTTTTACCGACGAATGAGTAGTTTTGGTTTGTTTTCATACCGGCCACACTGGGTCCTCCCTTTAACTCGAGAACACCGACGTAATCGCCTTGAGTGGTGCAGACAACGGTCACTCTGGGATCAGGAATGGAACAGTATTGTCTTTAGTGACGATTCTCGATTTTGTTTAGGCATGCACGATGGTCGTGCCAGGGTTAGAAGGCGACGTGGTGAAAGGAGGAATCCACAGTTTTTTGTTGAAAGACATGTTCATCACACTGTTGGAGTTATGGTTTGGGGTGCTATAGCTTATGGTTCCAGGTCACCTTTAATCTTCATCAGAGGTAACATGAACGCGCAGCGTTATATCCACGAAGTTCTAGAACCCCATCTTTTACTCTATCTTGACACCCTGGCAGATCCAACTTTCCCAACAAGATAATGCCCGACCACATGTTGCAAGAGTCACAATAGACTTCTTTCAACATAATGATGTCACATTGTTACCATGGCCACCAAGATCTCCCGACTTATCCCCAATTGAGCACGTGTGGGATATGATGGGTAGGAGATTGCTCAATTTGCAACGTCCTCCTCAGACTCTAGAAGCACTTCGAGAGGAGTTGGTGGTTGCCTGGAATGAGATACCACAGGAGGACATTGACCACCTGATCAGAAGCATGCCTAGGCGCGTCGGAGAATGCGTAGCACATCAGGGTGCATCCAGACATTATTAAAGGTCAAAGGGATTTAAAGCAGTGCAATCATTTTGAATTTTTTATCATTTACTTATTATGCTTCATTAAGTACTTATACAAAATTTTATTAAAATAAAACCATTTAAATTGGGTGTTCGGATTTATATGTCACTTAGTATATTACTTAAAAAATCACCTCGCGCAATATTTGCCTGAATGCTCCACAAAAGTAATCCCTGTAGTTTTCCATATCCATATGAATTGTAAATTAGTCATGGAAGACTCTATATAACTTACACCAAAAGTTTTTCTGGGCTGGGTACGTCCTTAACGGTTACATTACTTGTCACGGGAAAAAGGAAACGTTGTGTGATTTCCTTTCTAGATGAAGCATCGACATCACAATATTCACCTGAAGAATTGGAGTTTGGGCACATAATAGTCACTGGCGGTTTCCTTGAAATATTTCTTCGAGTAAAATATCAACTGGTGTCGCTAATTGTGCAACCTTACGTAAAATGTATTCACACGTCACATCATGAAGAAAATTCAAACTGCTTATAACTCTCCTACTATTTAGCGATATATAATCAATTGTATCCAACAATATAGACTAATCAAATTCTTTCTGTGGATATAACCCTGAAAACTTGAAATGCAGATATTTCAAAAACTTTCTTTGTATTCGCTCAATACGCCTTACATGAACCAAATAGATTTGATACCATATTAAAGAGCAATTTTCCAATTTAGATCGAACATATGAAGAGGTTTCAGAACGGGTAAATTGGAAAATTGTATACTATTCCGGATGATGAAGCAAACATATGGTTTGTTAATAATAATAATAATAATAGCTTTATTGTCCAACAGTTTCCCATTTACAGGACAATTTATAAACATAATACAAAAGCCAAAAAAAAAGCGAAAAAAAGGGAAAAGAAAACAAATGCAACACAGGTATAAATTTGTAACATGAGCTATTGGTTCGAATAAGCCTTAGCTGCCTTTAGCAGGTAATTAACATTTGTCGTAAATATATCACAATAACATCCAATTCTGTTTAAGTTAGAGCACATTACATATAACGGTGACTTGAGAAGAATGTTTGTCCTAGCTCTAGGAAGCCCGAATATTTTATGATTACGAGATGCAAACGAAACTTGATCTGTTCCAGGATCATGGGGCAATCAATTAAATTGTTGATCATTTTGTAGCCAAATATTATTGAGGCACAGTACCTACGTTTTTTCAAAGTCAACATATCTAAGCGACTACATAGTTCCTCATTACTTGTACCTCTCTCTGGATATGTCCCATCAATCCTAAACAGAACAAACTTCATAAACTTCCGTTGTACTCTTTCAACAGCTGTGCTATAGCATTCATAGTAAGGGCTCCAAATAATACTACAATATTCGACTTTGGATCTAACATAAGCATAATATAATAATAATAATAATAATATTTATTCACTCAATGTACAAAGATAACAAACAATATGAGTAAATAAATATAAAATCAAACAGGCCCAATAGAAGGCATCGCCTGTACATGGACCAATAAATTTAAGTTGAAACTGTAGAATGCAAATGACAAAAAGGACAAAAATTAGCTACAGTAGATTATGTATTTAGTTGATGTTCGTATTTATGAGTTTATAAATTTCAGTCCTAGATATAGAATGTAGCCACTTTTTTAAATTTCTTTTGAAACAATTTCCGAAACGTAAATCTTTTAAGTCTTTAGGTATAATTTCATAAAATTTAGGCGCTAAATAGAGATATGATCGCTGCATTATAGATTTATGCGGTTGAGGAACTACTGTGCCACGAATTTTGTACCTGGTATAATGATTATGTTTAATTTTTTGGTCGGTGTTTACAAATTTATGGTAGTGAGTGATACTGTGTAAGAAATAAAGCTGTCTTATATCATACATTCGAACATCTGCGTATAATTTTTCAGTGGGATAAAGTTTCGGTTTTTTAAATATCATTTTTAGAATACTTTTTTGAAAAACATCTAAATTATAGATATGTGAGGAACATGCAGCTCCCCATGCTAATATACCATATGTGAGATGAGGCTCAATCAGTGCATGGTATAATGTTCGAAGATATTTTTCTGTCAATATATTCCCAAGGTATTTAATTTTGTAGGATACAAATCTAACTTTCTTTAAAATATAATTGACATGGATGTCCCATCGTAAGTGAGGATCCAAGACCACTCCAAGGTATTTTATGTTGGGCACTCTATTAATTTGCATTTTTTGATCATTAATATTGAAGGAGAAATTTGTGTAATTTGGCAGATGTCTAGCATAAGATCCAAATGGTAAAAAATGTGTTTTAGGGTAGTTATTGCTTAATTTTCTACTGTTAAACCACCGAATAATTTTGATAAAATCATTTTCAATTATATTTTTTAGAACAGACCAGTCAGTGCCTTCATATAATATTGCAGTATCATCTGCAAAACTAGTTATTTTGCCGACACAATTAATTTGGAAAATATCATTTAAATATATATTGAATAACAGCGGACCTAAGACAGTTCCTTGTGGGACACCACACTTAATATACATTTCTTTACTAAATGATCCTGACATCTGCACAGATTGTGGGCGATTTGACAAATAACTTTCGATCAGTGAGTACGCGTTTCCTCTGAAACCAATTCTCTCCAATGCTTCTAATAATAATTTGTGATTAACTATGTCGAAAGCTTTCTTTAAATCAACAAAAATGCAGATTGAAGGGATTCTGTTATCAATATTTTGATGTATTTGATTTACAATTTTAGTTATTGCGTCCGATGTAGCCTTTCCTTCTGTAAATCCATATTGATTTTCACTTAAAATTTTGAATTTTGTGAGGTATCGAATCATTCTAGTAGATAAAACTTTTTCAAAAACCTTTGCTACACTGGATATTATTGATATTGGTCTATAGTTGTTAACATCTGTTTTTGTTCCTGATTTATGTATCGGTATTATATTACCTTTTTTAAAATTGAGGGATATATGCCAGATTCAAAGCATTTGTTGATTAGGTAAGTGAGTGGTTCTGTTATGTCCTCGGCTATAATTTTCAAATGCTCGCCTTTAATACCATCGAACCCAGGACTTTTCCGATTTTTTAAGGACATAACAGTGGTGTATACTTCACATTGCTCGACTTTATCCAAAATAAATGAGTTCTTTTTGGAGGCTGAGTATTTTGTACATTTGCTTGTATATTATTGCTAAATTTTCGCCTATGTCAGTAAAGAATTGTACAAATTCATCGCATATCTGTTGAGTATTTTTTAATACTGTTCCCGATGTTGTATTTAACTCAGTGACACACTCTTTAACTTTTGTTTTCCCAGTAATCTCATCAATAGTTGTCCAAAGCCGCTTAGGATCATTTAAGTTATTATTCAATTTATTTAGGTAATGTTTTCGTTTGGTTTGCCTTACAAGCTCTATAAATTTATTTTTATATTGGTTGTAGCAGTCGGTATTCTCTGTAGTTGGCGTTAGTTTCATTACATTATATAGTCCTTCTTTTTCTATTGCCGATGTTATTAATCCTTTGGTAATCCAGGCCTTTCTGCTTTTCTCTTTGTGACTAATTATTACTTTATTGGTACTAATATCTATTATTGGTATACAAGTAATTTTGTTGGATAGGTCTTTCACAAAGCAGTGATCTATACATGTGCCACTGATGGACCTTGTAGGTAGGTTTATATAGGACAGAAATCCGTTACTTGATAGGATATTCAAGTATTCATTTGTGATGGGATCAGTAGCTTAATAGACTTTATGTTATGAAAATTCCTGCAATTCCTTACTATGAAACCATAAGCCGCCAATGCTTCTGATGCTTTTTTATTTATATGCTGACTAAAAGTTAACTTTTGATCATAGATTATACCTAAATCATCAGAGCATCTTTCTAGCACAGACCCATCAATAGAGTCCGGATATTCGCAAACATTAATTTTCTTGGTACAGCTAACTATTTTACACTTCCTCACACTAAGCTCCAACTTGTTTTCTACACTCCAAGACAACACAAAATTTAATTGGTGTTGTAGCTTGATACAATCATCAGGAGTATTTATCTGCGAATACATTTTTAGGTCGTCAGCAAAGCATAGGCGTTCACATTCAACTGAGTCACAGAGGTCATTAATAAATATCAAAAACAGTAATGGTCCCAGGTTGGACCCCTGAGGAACTCCAGAAGACGTCAAGTAGGTCTCAGATTGGAAGCCATTATAGCTAACAAATTGTCTACGATCGGATAAGTAAGATTTCATCAACTCCCTAGCATCATCTGTGAAACCAAGTACACCTAACTTATTTAATAAAGTTTTGTGGTTAATTTTATCGAAAGCCTTCGAAAAGTCGGTATAAATAACGTCAACTTGCTTATTACTATCAATGGCTTCCGAGAGGTACTGCGTTATTATAAATAGATTTGTGGTTGTTGAGCGATTAGCGACAAATCCTGTGTTGATGCAATGACAGCTGACGCTGGACGGCAGTGTAAATGCGACTGTACAAGACTATTTCAAAGACTTTCGAGAACATTCATAATATAGAGATTGCCCTGTAATTCTCAATATTTGACTTATCTCCACACTTAAACACTGGACAGACCTTAGCGATCTTCCAAATATCTGGAAATCTTTTTGTTATAAGACAAATATTAAAAATCCTAGTTAGAACACCAACAAACCCTTCCACACAATCTTTGACTATAAAGGACGGGATGCCATCTAGACCAGATGTCATCTTATCCTTTAGTGATTTAATGGCCTTCCTGACTTCATTTTCCTCAATTGGATGAAAATCGACAAATAAATTACTATGATTTAGTGAGGCACTATTATGAGGCTTGTGAGTGACATAGACGCTGCTGAAAAACTCACTGCTTTGCTGATATAATACCATTTATTTGATCGCAAAATGACAGCGCACTGTCAAAGAGAACACCGATATCCTTCATTTGATAGTAGATATTCAACACGTTAATTTTGTAGGACCATATAACTGCTTCCTTTTTTTGATGAAATCTAATATGAATCACTTATCTACATTAACCTTAAAATGTTTAGCTCTGCGCTAATATAAAAACAATGTCAATGCAGCTTTGGGACGCAGCTAACAGATGCGGTTTAAAGTGAATCTTTGTTATAATATCTATAGACTGTAGACTGTATTCTGCATCCAAAATAAAGCTCCTTCCAAGCTGTAACCTTTGAAAATCATTGAAATTTCTACATACTGCAGCTTCGCAATTGGTCCATCTTGAACTATGTATCGTGTATCAGCAATTATTTAAAAATGTTTATAAACTTTTATGTTTTTTATCACACTTAAATTAAAACCACCACGTTATGGACAAGCTGATAAGTCTTTGACCGATTACTGAGGGTTAAAGTAACGGAAAAAAAATCGAGGTCACCAGCACGTGGAGACGATGATGCAGGCAACGCTATCCAAGAAAATAGTAGAATATATTCATATGGTGCCTTCAAGGGCATACTCAACGGAAGGATATATGGCTCCAGATTCCTTCCAGAACCACTCGCGTTACCTTGTATAAAACAACACGGGATATACACGATGTCTACTTACATCACTATCTCGGACAAATCCCACACATCCACGGTCCTGGAGGCATTGTCTTCAGGACGGAGGAAAAGGTTGAGGTTTTCGCCGATGCCATGGAAAGACAGTTCTCTCCCAACTATGATCTTGATAATGACCCCGACGAGGAGCAAGACATCGTAAGATCTGTCAGGAAATATTTTAGGGCCAACGGCGTCAGTGACAGTCGCGCTACCGTTGGTCATTTTTCTTCATCACAAGATTCTTCTTCAAAAGCTTCCTCAACCGAAGATCTGCTTAGCACATCAGCGGAATCTCCCGAGATCCCGCATTGCACACCAGCAGAGATTCAAGGTCATATTACAGACGTAAAACACCTGGGGAGGATCTAATCACTAATAAGGCGCTGAAGCTGCTTTCGCGGAAGTCCTTAACTTATCTCATGGAAATAGTCAATGCCATGCTAAGTACCCAGTACTTCCCATCCGCGTGGAAGTTATAATGATTCCAAAGAAGGTGGGTTCGATATTTCCCCAGGATTATCGTTCCATTAACCTGCTGTCAGCTCCGTCTAAGCTCGCTGAAAAGGTGATTGTACATCACCTTGAGAATTTCTCGTCAGATTACCATGCGATTCCTGACGTGCAATTCGGTTTTCGGTCTGAACATAGTACGGAGCTACAGGCGGTTAGGCTGGTGGAACGAGTAACCAGAGGATTCACGAAAGTACTGGCATCTTGCTTTTGGATGTCTCAAAAGCATTTGACAAGGTGTGGCACGCGGGCCTCCTGTATAAACTAATCCAAAAGGGCTTCCCTTTATGGCTTCTAAAACTACTGAAATCCTTCCTTGAAGGTAGGAAATTTCGGATCAAAATTGACAATGTCCTGTCGACAACACGGCTGGACCTATCCTTTACTCACTGTACATCCATGACGTCCCTAGACCCAGCAACTGTGAAGTGTATCTCTATGCTGACGATACTGCATTGGTGGCTCAGTCGTAGTCTGGTGACCTAGTCCATGACAGGCTGCAAAGTGCGGTGGAGGAGGTATTAGATTGGGCAGATCGGTGGCTAATTAAAATTAACCATTCGAAAGCGCAGGCAATCTAGACCATATCAAAATCTGTGAAGTGCTTTTAACAATGCCTAAACGCTGCCTATCCTAAAAGATTCTCTTCTTCCCCTTTGCTCTCGTTCTTCCTTCTCTTCTTTCCTTCCCATTTTCCCTTAAAATTGTATACAACACTGACCGCAAAATCTTGCGTTCTCGTATATTCACAACAAAGAGGTTTACTTGTAATAGCTTTCGAGGTATTTGTTTTTAAAAATTCCAACGCATTATTTGTACCATGATGAACATTTTGATAAAATAATAATAAAGTTGCTTTGGATAATATCTGAGTAGCGTTGCTTTGGTTTTTAACAATTACAAATGAGGTTGGCGACAAAACTAATAAACGGAAATAATAACTACAAAAATTGTAAATACCTTTTTCCACTTAGTCTAGGTGATAACCCAACCGGTCCTAATAAATATTGTTCAGGTTTGTATTATTGCACGAGGATTTTCCTCTGCATTAATAGATTATGCGAGTTAATGGGCCCATCCCTTCCAAATCCCGCTTCGTCCGAAAATAATATTAACGAAGTGTAACCATTGTCGTGGTTAAACATAGGTAAGAGCCATATATAAAAGTTTGCAAATAAAAAATAACGGATTCTTGTTACTCATACCAGAAAACCTCCCTATACCGAGTTTCATGGCAAAATCCGAAATACTTCTCCAGCAATAAGGAAAAATAGAAAATAAAATTGTAACTTTTGGACAAAGGTATGCTTAGGTCAATTATTCACATATTTTGGTCTGTAGTATTTTCAGTTTCGAGATCTCCCAACCTTTCGCATATTATGTTATATAGTATTTTATTATACTTTTTAACACAAAAAATTCATTTGCAATATACAGGGTGGCGCATCGAAAACGAAACAGACGCATTTACTGGCAGCACAAGTTTGGCAAAAAATCACGTTAGCACGTGCAGCCCCTTAAGCGGGGGTGACACCAACCCTAAAATCTTAAATGGAAAGGGGGTCGAGTGATACCTTATTTTAAAGGTCTTTCAATTCCCTTTATAATGATACATAAGCTTCAGTTCAGTAGTTTTGAAGATTTATTGATTTAAAGCTTAAAGTAGACTTTAATAGGTACATTAGATTCCATAGCAACATTTTAGGATGCTTCATCATATAGGTGCTATCACCTATTTGCTTTTGAAGCACGCATAAACTATTTGAAAGCGATGCATATTTTTTTAATAACGTTTTAATTTATCTATCGACGTGTTGGTTTCAAATATCTGTAATAAAACGCCACATAATCTTCGTATAAACGATATGTGTTGAAAGCTCAGTTTGAAGAATAAAAAAAAATCTCTGATTACATTTTTCAGAAAAACCACAGAGAATTAGATGCTGTACTTCAGTGCATTGAGAATTCCGCAGTTTTCTTACTTTTTCACATGCACCCCCAGCACATCTATCTGGATACACCTCAGCAGCTTGTTGAATACGTCAATCAATGCTTGTAGTAAAAAGTAAACCTGCTTTACGCCATATTTATGAAAATTCCGTCATCTTCTGCAGCTTTGTCTAGAAAAGTCAAACACACCTGTAGCGATTACTAGGAAACCAAGTAAAACAAGTTTTACTTGCCTATCACCAAAAATGAAGACATAATGGTAATGAGATACCTGGGTAGGGACCACTAAAAATTCCGTGAGATACGGTAGCTTAAATATACTAAGTGACATATAAATCCGAAAACCCAGTTTAAATGGTTTTATTTTAATAAATTTTGTATAAGTACTTAATGAAGCATAATAAGTAAATGATAAAAATTTCAAAATGATTGCACTGCTTTAAAGTCCTTTGACCTTTAATAATGTGTGGATGCACCCTGATGTGCTACGCATTCTCCAACGCGCCTAGCCATGCTTCTGATCAGGTGGTCAATGTCCTCCTGTGGTATCTCATTCCAGGCAACCACCAACTCCTCTCGAAGTGCTTCTAGAGTCTGAGGAGGACGTTGCAAATTGAGCAATCTCCTACCCATCATATCCCACACGTGCTCAATTGGGGATAAGTCGGGAGATCTTGGTGGCCATGGTAACAATGTGACATCATTATGTTGAAAGAAGTCTATTGTGACTCTTGCAACATGTGGTCGGGCATTATCTTGTTGGAAAGTAGGATCTGCCAGGGTGTCAAGATAGGGTAAAAGATGGAGTTCTAGAACTTCGTGGATATAACGCTGCGCGTTCATGTTACCTCTGATCAAGATTAAAGGTGACCTGGAACCATAAGCTATAGCACCCCAAACCATAACTCCAACAGTGTGATGGACATGTCTTTCAACAAAAAACTGTGGATTCCTCCTTTCACCACGTCGCCTTCTAACCCTGGCACGACCATCGTGCATGCCTAAACAAAATCGAGACTCGTCACTAAAGACAATACTGTTCCATTCCTGATCCCAGAGTGACCGTTGTCTGCACCACTCAAGGCGATTACGTCGGTGTTCTCGAGTTAAAGGGAGGACCCAGTGTGGCCGGTATGAAAACAAGCCAAAACTTCTCATTCGTCGGTAACACTTCGCATGCCAATAGGTCTTCTGCAAACCATTCATTTGCAATGGACCTGGTAGTGGAGGCCAATAATCTTAGGCGGCGATCTTCACGGTCTGTTGTTCTACGGCGGCGTCCAGTGCCCCTTGCTCTTTGCGTACGGCCTTCTCGAATAATACCTCTTGCAAAGGAAAATATCGTAAATTTATCCGTCTAAGGAAACAAGGAGACCGATAACAAATAATTTGTCGGTAAGGCTTTGGTTTCGTAACTGATTCTATAGTGGATTTGAACTGGTGAAAATATAGCAACTATCCTTTATTTTTTTGCGTGAAATGTTTTGAGGTTTGTTCAATTTGATTACTTGTTATAGCTGGATATGATATGTTTGCTTTACCTGTGACTATATTCAACAGCATACAACGATGTTTCCATGCTTTTTAGCGATCATCAGTAAAGTATAGATGTGGTCATTTGAAGGCAGAAGACAGACAGCAAACAAGCGAATATTGGACCACTGACATTGTAGTGTGCGAAAAATGAAGGGGTCACTATTACCCATAGTTTGTCAATGACGGTACCACCGACCCCTACGTACAGTAGCGGGAAACCTCAGCTTGCCGACATCTCTGAATGATAGCCGGACAAGGTCGTCCAACACATAGGCGTCCCTCGGGGGATAGTAGGTAGCATTGACGTATTAGGCAAAACTCAACACATGCTGAATAAGATCTGTTTGATATATTAGGTATATTTTTCTGCCCTTCTTCGGAAAGTTTTTTTCAATCCACTATATTCAGTATGAAAAACCGTATATTGATTTATAGATTGTGAGTAAAATCATTTTCAAGCTGTATACATTCGCTCAAACTTTCAAACGTGCTTTACAATAAATTGCAATGCTGGTTGCCTATATTCGTTCAGCTCCACACTGTAGGTTTGCTATTTAAAATAAAAATTATATCATCACCAATCATTACTCAGTAAAATTTAGTACGAAATGTCAAAAAAAAACTGACGAAATATCACTTTTCAAGATACGTAATGTACAGGGTGTTTCAGTTTATTGTTGCATAACTTTAAGATTCGATAGAACTTTCAATATTAATGCATAAAGTCTATATAAACATGGGTCGAAAAATGCGTGGCTTCCGAAATACAGCGTGTTTAAATTTACTTTCTAAAATAGTTTTTTTTAAATATATCGAACAATATTTGATGTATAACAGTGAAAATTGGTATACAAGGGTTTTTTGGTACGACAAAACGAACCATGGGCATAGTTTTACTGTGGCCGCTAGAGGGCGCTCTCTACTGTACCTGTAGTGTATTAAAATGACCGAAAAAATTTTCTTAGTGCAATTTTTTGCTTTCTGAATAAGAAAACTGATTCTTCGCACTTTTCAACATAAAAAAGCTCCTATGTGAGTTTTCGTTATAGTTAGCCGTTTTTGAGATATTTCGATTTTTAAGGTTCGATGCATTTTTAATTATCTATGGGAAAATAATTTTTTTTTACATTTTTGATTTGGGCATTACAAATAATTAAGATGATCGTTTAGATTGTGTTTTTAAACACAGCAATAATTCCTAACTCCAAATAAACACAAAAAACAGGATATTAATTTGTTTAATTTTCCAATATTATTTTTAACAAATTAAATTAATTATTTACAACTAAAATGCTATTGGATAGTTAGGACAAACATACAAAATCTAAAGTAGCTGCTCGAAATGTAAACCCAATTGTTCAATACACAATTCACATCTATGAATGATCGAACGTGGTATAGCATTATTCAAATAAGGCCTTATTTCATCACATGCATTCCTGATTCTGTCTATTAGCATATCTCTTATGGTTACGGGAGTCTGGTACATTTTTTCTTTTAGAAATGCCCACACAAAGAAATCTGATGGATTTAGGTCAGGGGATCGTGGAGGCCAGGCGACTGGTCCTCCACGGCCGATCTACCTTTCTGGATAATTTTCGTCCAGCCAGTTTCTAACTATTCTCGAATAATGAGCTGGATAACCATCAAGCTGGAACCAGACCAATCTTCTTAAATCCAACATAACATCATCCCACATATTTGCTTGTTCAGCCTTTAAAAATTCCAAGATGGTCGCAGCATTAAACCTTGCAGGCAAAACGTAGGGTCCAAATAGTCGATTACGGTAGATATCAATCCACACGTTCGCACTAAATTCATGCTGAAAATTTCTTTCCCGAACTGCATGCGGATTTTCATGCGACCAAATATGTTGATTATGAAAATTTACCACTCATCGGTCCATAAAACGTTACTTAAAAACTCCGTATTATTATCAGTTCTATCAAGAATCCACTGACAAAATGTGGTTCTTCGTTCTCCGTACCCTGGCTGTAGTCTTTGCACAGGTTGCAAATGGTAAGGACGACTATGGTCATTTTTAAGAACACGGTGAACATGGCTTGCTGAAATTCCCAAGGCACCAGAAACTCTCCTAACACTTGTGGTCGGATCTCTATCAAACTCACGCAGAATCATACGGGTAAATCTGCACTGACGAACATTTATGTTTTGATCCCTTTGGAGAGTTCCAAGACAATTTTCAATTATTTGGCGATGCACTCTTACAAATACTGAGCGAGTTGGATGTCGTCTGTTTGGAAATCTTCGTGTGTATTCTCTGGCTGCTTCTGCTGCGTTTCCATTTGCAAAGCCATATCCGCTAACTCTTGATTGGAGAATAAAATGGCATTTTTATAAAACTTACAAAAAAAAAACAGGTAAAAGAGACTAAATTTCGTGCATTCACAATTGCAAAAAAACGTTTCAGGTTTCAACAGACAACAAAACTAACTGTCGACTAATTGACGTTTAACCTTATTCTGCTTTCAATTTCAAAAATATTTGCAGGCACAGCCTACTTCTAAAAATTATCGAAATACTGACTTTTTAACGTTATTTTATCATAAATAATTAAAAATGCATCGAACCTTAAAAATCAAAATATCTCGAAAGCTATAACGAAAATTCACAAAAGGGCTTTTTTATGTTGAAAAGTGCGAAGAATCAGTTTTTTTATTCAAAAAGCAAAAAATTGCACTAAGAAAAAAATTCGGTCATTTTAATACACTACAGGTACAGTAGAGAGCGCCCTCTAGTGGCTACAGTAAAACTATGCCCATGGTTCGTTTTGTCGTACCAAAAAACCCTTGTATACCAATTTTCACTGTTATACATCAAATATTGTTCGAAATATTTAAGAAAAACTATTTTAGAAAGTAAATTTAAACACCCTGTATTTCGGAAGCACGTATTTTTCGACACATGTTTATATAGCCTTTATGCATTAATTTTAAAAGTTCTATCGAATCTTAAAGTTATGCAACAATAAACTGAAACAGCCTGTATAATATATTAAGTGAAAAATGTCAAATGTGTCCATTGAAAAACATTGAGTTAATCTACTTGACATCTTTTAACTTCTTCCGTTAATTGCCACACTTTGTTCACTTATACCCGGTACCTCTGCTCATAACCTGTAGGCATGTACGTTTTTCGAGTGGCTTGTTAGGAAATTCCTTGGAACCGGTAGCACATTAAGAAGCTATAATAAAAAAATAACAATTAAAGAAGCAGCTTCTGATATATGGCTGGCATGAGACAAAGAACACGTTGGGCCCAGGTGTGCTTGGAAGCACTCGAAATTCACCAAGGCCGTCAGCTAATCGCGCCTAACGGCTAAAATTTACAAAAAACACTCGGCGTATAATAATCCGCTTAAGTGTCTAACTAGCTGCCGAGTCACATACGTGGTTACTCCTCCGGGGTAAGCGGGCGGAACACTACTACAGCGATAATTTTCTCTCTGTGCCGACAACAGAGATATAAAGTGGAATCTACTTATAATGAACTTGCTTTCAATGGAAACCCGTATATAATGGACACAATTTAAGG